ATATGTTTTTTTTTAAACAATGGAGTACTACTTGGTCATAAAGAAGGATAAACTTGAGACTTTTATAGGTAAACAGGAGCAACTTGAGACCATACTCATAAGTGAAATAAATCAGACTCACATGTGTAAACATCATATTGTCTCCCTGGTGTGAGAATCTTAAAGAGTAAATAAGGTCTAAAGTGTACAGTAGATACTGTGAAATGGGAAGAAATTGTTCAAAATGAGAAAGGAATTAGGATGGGGACAAGGGGAAAGGACAAGAAGGGAAAAGGAAAAAAATGCAAGTCAGTTATACTTTTAGTGTCTCTTAGTTCATTGAAAAGGAAGGTTGAGCTGGGGATATAGCTCAGTGGCATAAGCACTTATCTGGCAAGCACCAGGTCCTGAGTTCGATTCCCGGTACCAAAAAAAAACCTCTATAATTGAAAAGGAAGATTTGTGCTAATATCAATTAGGGAAATTTTAATGCCCATATCATATACTTTAAATAACTACTTTATGAATAACAATATGCAGTGTATTAACTATTGTTATTCTCCTATTTTTTTGTTAGGAAATTTTGTTTTATCTTTTTTCCATGAAATAAAAAAGGGTTTAAAAAGGCCACGTATTTTTAAAAATAGTGCATGCTTTGCATGCACTATCTTACTTAATCTCCCCATACTCCAAAGAGCACTATTATTTTCTCTGCAGATGGTGAAAGTAAAGTTTACAAGTTACATATTCAAGGTGACACAGCTGGAAAAAGGTGGAGATGGCTTTGAGCCCTGAAAGCTCTATAGCAAGCTAAAGGCAAATTTGCAGATCCCATTAGAACTCATGCATCTAAGTTAGACATAAGCATAGTCTTAAAAGGCCATACAAATATATTTTACTCAAATATCACATAAATAAGCCAGGCATGGTGGCACACACCTGTAATCCCAGCACTCAGGAGGCTGAGGCAGGAGGATTGCTGTGAGTTTGAGGGAATCATAGGGTACACAGTGAGTGTAAGACTAGCCTGAACTATATAACAAGACCCCATTTCAAAACACCAAAAATAAAAATAAAAATAAATTTTATAAAACTACAGATATAACCCTGGTATTTTTACTGTGAGCCAAGCTGCCAAGGGAAGTATCTCCCGCCTCCATCGTCCCCCTCATGTCCACAGACATCCCTCGAGAACAGGGGTCCCCAGTGCTCAGGCCATGCAGCGCATGAGGGGAGTGGCAGGTCAGCTAGTGAAGCTCCATCTGCGGTGCAGTGGCTCCGCACGCCAGCGTTACACCCGAGCTCTGCCTGCTGTCAGATCAGGGGAGCACCAGAGTCTCACAGGAGCATGGATTCTACTGGGAAGTATACATATAAGGGCTCTAGGTTGTGTGCTCATTATGCGAATCTAAGCCTGGTGGTTTGTTTTGCTTTTTTTGAGACAGGGTCTTACTGTGTAGTTTTAGGCTAGTCTTATTTTTTTTTCCAGTACCAGGAATCAAACTCACGATCTTGCGCTTGCCAGGCAGGTGCTGTACCACTGAGCTAAATCCCCAGCCCCTAGGCTAGTCTTAAAGTCACTCACTCAAGATGGCCTCAAACTCACAGCAATCCTCCTGTCTCAGCCTCCTGAGTGCTGGGATTATGGTGAGCACCCCCTTGCCTAGCTGATAATGCCTGATGATTTATGGTAGAGGCAGTGATGCTAGCACTGGGGAACATAATTGTTCTGTATTGCAAACATACAATAGGGGCTGGGGATTTAGCTCAGCGGCACAGTACCTGCCTGGCAAGTGCAAGGTCGTGAGTTCAGCTCCTGGTACCGGAAAAAAAAAAAATATATATATATATATATAGTAAAAAAGTAAAAGAAAGAAACCCCTCACCACCGCCACAACCACCACTTCCCCTGTCTGTGGAAAAAAACTGTTTCCACCCAACCCGTCCCTGGTGTTGCTGTGGAACTGTGCAGTCAAGGATTATAGCCAGACTGGCTGCTGAGCACTTGAAATGTGGCTTGTGTGATGGCAAAATAGAATTTCACACTTACTTTGATCAAGTTAAATTAACACTTTAAAACTGGAGAATTGTAGAAAAAAGCTTTAAGCACAACTTCAGTCTTAGATTTAAAAAACATTTTTTTCCTATGCTGGGGATGAAATCCAGGGTCTCATGCTTGCAAGTACCTTATGATTCCCTCAAACTCACAGCAATCCTCCTGCCTCAGCCTATCACTAAGCTATAGCCCCAATCCAACAGCTAAATTTTTCATGTCATGTTGATATTTTGGTGTCAAATTTGAAATATTAGTGTAAAATACACAATGAATTTTTAAAATCCTTGGAAAAACATATGAAATAACAATAAGTTTTACATTATTTGCTGAAATTATATTCTTGATATATTGTGAAATAAAATATTTATAGATTTCTTTCAATATTTCTTTCTACTTTTTAATGCAGCTCTTAGATAATTTATTGTACATTTCCACTGGAGCTCACCGTTCTAGAGAAAACTCCTCTACCTGCTCCCTTGGCTCACAACCCAGAGGACCGTGTCTCCTCTTTTCCCTGCTGCTTCAAAACCGGAAAGAATTTCTTTCCCAACTTCACCGTCAGAAGCAAAAAAGATTTTCATGAAACCAAGAAGAGACTATAACTGGGAACGTTTTAAAATCATGTGTAAACATATACCAACAGTTTCTACTTTGTGGATAGCTTCCCCCTTTGGCTATTGTTACAAATGATCCCTTAGGTAAGAAAGTCAGACCTGTGATCGTTACTGTCTATCCAGAGTCCTTCAGATGGGGGTGACCAGCGTGCGTTGTGTTATACACACTGAACAGCTCCCCATGTGACAGGAGGGGGAGGGGAGCTCCAGGGAGTGACAGGGAGTGGGGGGTCTATAAAATGATCAGTTGTTTGTTTTTGAGACAGAGTCTCACTATGCTATTCAGGCTGGACTTGAACTGACTATGTAGCCCAGGCTGGCCTCAAACAACCCCCCTGCTTCAGCCTCCCGAGTGCAGGACTATACCCCTACACCCAGCCTCCTATTATGGCATGTAGCAATCTCCTCAAGCAAAATCCATTAATCTGTATAACCAATAAAAGAGTGAGGAAAAAAAGCCTTTCCAAGTCTGAATAGGAGCCCTTTGGAAAACAATTTGGAAGATACCTACTAAGACCTGCTTGCTATGTGACCAAACAATCTTACTCCTAGTTATTTACTCAGGAAAAATAAAAAAATGTTCACAACGAGACGTAGGTTCAAAATAAGGCTAATATACAAACGGCCACAGGAGTTTCATTCATAATAGCAAAAGGCTGGAAGCAACCCAAACACCCATCAACAGACGAGCTGTTAAACAAATTGCGGTCGGCTCATCCCTCAGTTCTACTCAGCAACAAGAAGAAACAAGCTGTTACCAAGTGCTAGGACACAGGGGTGAATCTTAGAGATATTACATTGGATGAAAGCTACCAAAAGACTACGTATATATGATTTATGTGAGGATTTAGAAGATGGTTTCTT